CTCAGGCAAATTCAACACAGCGCCGCCTGTCGGAAAACTCAGGCAAACTCAACACAGCGCCCGTTAGCGCAGGGCCTGGGGCACGGCCAGTGTCCACATCAGCCGCCATCGCACGTACATGCGGAGGCAGCGCCGTGGCGGGAAGGGCGTGCCCCAAATGCCAGCCAGACACTATCCCCACAGAGCAGAACCTGACGGGGGGAGGCCGGAAGGAGGCAGCGTTTACACGGAACACGTAATTTCACGGGACTGTTAATTTTATAAACCATCCTACCTTATCAGTTCTAAGGTGCGCATTGTTTCACGCACTCCAACATCTTCAAAACCGGAGTGCATCTCGCTTTTTAAAAATTTCCTTTGAATGTTTATTTATTTTTGGGAAAGAGAGAGAGCACCAGCAGGGGAGGGGCAGAGAGAGAGGGAGACACAGAATCCAAAGCAGCTCCAGGCTCCGAGCTGTCAGCACAGAGCCCAACACGGGGCTCGAACCCACGGACCGTGAGATCGTGACCTGAGCCAGAGTCAGACGCTTAACCTCCTGAGCCACCCAGGCGCCCCATGGAGTGCGTCGTCCTTAACCCTGTGTCGTGGCTCACAGTGTACCCCCCACTCACACAGGGGTTTCCTCTTTCAATAAACTCCAGCACTGTAAATATAGCTTCTCTTCATGTAAGTTTCTTAACGTTTTCTCTTCTCCAGCTTTAATTTACTGCACTTATACAGTATGTAACTCATACCACACACAGAACACGTGTTAATCGACTGTTTCTGTTACTGGCGATGCTCTGGTCAAGGGTAGGCTATCAGTAGTTAAGTTTGGGGGGGTCAAAAGTCACATGCAGATTTTTTAAATTTTTTAAAAAATGTTTTTATTTATTTTGAGAGACAGAACCGGCAGGGAAGGGGCAGAGAGAGAGGGGGACAGAGGATCCCAAGCAGGCTTTGCACTGACAGCACAGAGCCTGACGTGGGGCTCAAACCCACGAACCGTGAGATCACGACCTGAGCCGAAGTCAGGGGCTTAACTGAGCCACCCAGGGACCCCAGTCATATGCAGAGCTTTTACTGTGGGGGGATCAGCGCCCCCAGCCCCTGACTATGGGGGGGGGGAGTCAGCGCCCCCAGCCCCCACACAGTTCCAGGGTTTATAAAACAATAGTGCACCCTAGCTACTGATCGCATCTTGGATTCTGTGGCAAATGGTAAAACCACCAGGCACACAGGGTACGTCTTTCCTGGGGCCTCAGCCCTGGCCACCAGGCACACAAGTCTTGTGTCGGAGAGACCCACATTCCTGTAGCAGCAATGCCCCTGCCTCGGTTTCCCCATCTGTGCGAGGGGAGAAACCTGACGGAGACTATGCGTTTTCAGTTCTGACTCATGCTGGAGGCGCCCGTCGGGGACACACGGCTGGGGCCAATGAGCAAGTGAGAGGTGGGCACTCTCCCCGGCCACGGCTCCCATGCCCCCCGTGCCCAGTCCCTGCTCTCCTTGCCCTGCCCCACCCCTGCAGGATGCTGGCACTGTTCCCTGCCCGGGGCCCAGATCCCAGCACATAAACTGTTCCCGAAGGGTGAGGCCGGCCCCGCCGGCCCAGGGACGCCGCTTCCTGCCTGTCCCTCACAAACTCCCCCACAAACTCCCCAACACACACCCAGCCTGGGCGCCAGGCAATAAGCCCTTTCTGAAGCCCGGAAGCCACCTCCGGGTGTAAAGCTGGGCCTGGGCCCCACTCCCCACGGGGACCCTCGAAGCTTTCGATTCTTACCCGCCAGGCGGGCGTTGTGGCACGGTGGTTGACAATCTCCCGCTCACGCGCCCTGGATTTCCCACAGGGGACGCACCAAAACTGAGTACTTCCAATGAGGGGAGGGACTGTGTCCCTGAAGTAGGTGGAGGATATCCAGCCGGCCGTGAGACTGGACTGGGCAAGAAACAAAACTGCCTCTGTTCTCAGATGGCCTCATTGTCTACACAGAAAACAAAGGCTCAGGGCGCCTGGGGGCTCCGACCGTTAAGTGTTTGACTCTTGGCTTCAGCTCAGATCTCACTGTTCTTGGGTTCGAGCTCCGTGCTAACAGTGTGGCACCCACCGGGGATCCTCTCTCTCCCTTACTCTCTGCCCCTCCCCTGCTCGCTTTCTCAAAATAAACATCTTTTTTAGAAAAAAGCTCTATGGGGTCCCCCGGGGGGCTCAGTCAGTTAAGCGTCCGACTTCGGCTCAGGTCGTGATCTCGCGGTTCGTGGGTTCAAGCCCCACGTCGGGCTCTGCGCTGACAGCTCAGAGCCCGGAGCCTCCTTCGGATCCTGTGTCTCCCTCTCTCTCTGCCCCTCCCCTGTCCGTGCTCTCTCTCTCAAAAATAAATATACATCCAAAAAATTTTTTTAAAACCTTGTTAAAATAAAAAAGTTCTACAAAATCCACAAACCAAAACACGCTATGAGAACAAATAGTTGAATATAGCAAGATCGCCGCATATAAGGTCAATATACAAAAGTCAACTGCACTCTCTATATTATCAACGAAGGATGAGAATTTGAAATTAAATAAACAATACCGCTTACAATATCACCAAAAAAATAGTGAAACCACAAAAAGAAGTGCATGTAGGTATAAATCAAACGGATATGGAAATTTCGGTGATACCAAAAGTACGACGAGATAAACTTCCGCTGAATTTACATTAATTTTATATGGTTTCTCCATCAACAGATACTAAAGGTCTAAAACCCACCACACACGCCATATTAACATGCCAACATCCCTTGTGGTCCAAATCCATCCTGTTCCCAAGAAGCGAGCACCTGGATGGTCAGGACAGTCATACTGGCCCCAAGATTCGGTCCCTGAGTTTGGGGGGGGGGCGCTCATGGGCTGCAAGCGTGTAAGTAGTGATGGGCTCATCTGAAGCTTTACCCGAGTCTCCCTGGTTCTTGAGCTTGAATAGTGAGGGTTCAGGTTTGGGAGAAGTTCCCAACATGGTGGCCCTCGCACCTGTTTGGGAGACACTCCATCCAAGAAAAAAGGCAAGGATGTTTCTGCTAGCTCTACACACACACACACACACACACACATGCTCTACAGCCTGAGAAAGAGAAAGTCTCCAGAATTTGTCACTCACACGCCACCCCCACTACGTCCCTTTGGGCCACCATCACCCTAGGTTGCTGCCACGCCGACGACGTGTGTGACGGGCTGGGCTTCGTGGGGGCCCCGGCAGGAGGGCCCGGCTGCGGGGAAGCTGGGCTGGCTCCGCTGGGAGAGCGGTTCTCCCCGCTGCAGGTGGGCCAAGACGGAGGGGGCTCGGTGTCAGACAGGGCTGCCCGGACCACAGGCACCGCGCTGGGTGCTGGGGACACCGCGGCGAGCAGGCGGCAGAGAGGGTGGGGACCGCACGGAGCTCACCTTCTGCGGGGGCGCGGGGGATGCAGAGCTGGGTCGGGCGACTGACAAAGATGATTTCCGCAGCAGAGAGTGACGTGGAGAAAATAGGACCCTGCCTCCTACCTCTGCCCCCTTCCTCGAGCAGCTGACAGTGGCATCATGGCCTGAAGAACAGGCCAGTACGGAGGGAGTTGTGGACATTGAACTCTCGTGTGCCTCTCCTTTCGAACAGACCCTCACCTGCCGGTTGACTCTCCTCTGTGGCCAAAGTCGGTACCCGAATTTCTGTTCAAAGGCACATTTTACCTTGTTTACGGTTTATTCTTGCCTTCAAAATGCATCCCTGCAGTGTTGGTTTTTTTTTTAATGTTTACTTATTTCTCAGAGAGAGAGAGAGAGAGACAGAGTATGATCAGGGAAAGGGCAGAGGTGGGGGGGGGGG